AGGGAAGGAGGGAGGGAGGGAGGGGGAGGGAGAGAGGGAGGGAGGGAGAGAGAGAGAGAGAAAGAAAGAAAGAAAGAAAGAAAGAAAGAAAGAAAGAATGAAAAAGATCATCTGCTAAAAGTGAGTAGTGTCTGATGAGGGTGCAAAGTAGAGAACTGAAATAGCCTAAATGAAGACTGGCATGAGAGCTGATTGAGGATATAATTATTTTGAAGCTATTGTGAATGTTATTGCTTTCTTGATTTCTTTATCAGTGGGTTCATTTTTGGTGTACAGGAATGCTATTGATTTTTGTGAATTCACTGTATTTTTCAATCACCTTCTGTCTGTAAATGTTCCCTTTCTCCCCTGCTACTTTCTTCTGTCACAAAGCAGTGTTCAATATTTGTGAGTGAATGTTTCACTTTTTTGTATTATATATTTAGCAACAAAATGTAGCATTGTCTTCCTATCCTGTCTTTCCCCCCTTCAGGGTCCTCAGCTTCCTGCTCTTCAAGATGATGGAAATCCATTAGCCGTTCGCCTGGTTTGGGCTGGCAAACTGAAGTCCACGATTCCCCACTACTTCCCTGGCTAATAGCTTTTCTCCTCTCTGCACCCCGACTGCTGTTCTACAACTTTGGCCACCAGAGGCCACTGCTTTACATCTACTCAGGGCCCATAGAGGTGAGAAGCTAGAGAACCCAACTGCCTTGAGGTTCCTATAAGCTGGACCTTAATCGAACCATTTCCACAAAGGAGGGGCTGCTTGAGGAAAGATGAGAGGGAGAAGGAGAGGGACACTCATTGGTGCTGGCCTCTTTTATGCAGATCTCAGGAGCAGTTAGTTCATAAGGAGATAGTGGTTGGGATTTTTTTCAACAAGGTCTTGCTGTGTAGTTCAGCCTGGCCTTGAACTCACTTGTAGCCCAGGCTGGGCTTGAACTCTAAGCAATCATCCTGCCTCAGCCTCCCAAGTGCTGGGATTACAGGCGTGCACCACCACGCCCAGCCTTGGATTTCAGTGCTAACTTCCTGCCAAGTTTAGAGGGTTAGACTAGATAAAGTGATTGAATAGGTTAAGGAGATTTGCTAGTCTCTTCTTTTTTAGAAATGTTTAATATCTGCTGTGTTTTCTGGGTTGGTTGAGTTCTATTTGGTGTCTATTCTGGCTTGGCAGGGCTGTGGGAACAGGGAGTTGACGTGGAGAGGGAGTCACTGGCATCTGACCTCCCAGCCACAGCTGGGAGATACTCCTGACATCTTCAGAAACCCCCATCACCCACTGCTGCAGAGGCTGGGTTACTCACTCGGATGTAGTTGGCATTGATGTAGTCTCCATCCTCCTGGCTCTGTGCCCGGCCAAGACAGACACGGCTCTGGGGATCTAGGAAGTAAAAATCAGCAGAGTTCAGAGGTCAAAAGGTGACCAACTGATGCAGGCTAACAGGGGCTGAGGGAAGTGCACTCTTGTTTGCATCTTAGTACTTTGTGTACAGCAGGTAGCCAGATTGATACTCATTGACATCATCATCATCATCATCATCATCATCATCATCATCATCATCATCATCATTATTATTATTGTAGTGGGGATTGAACCCAGGGAGCACTGAGCTGCACTTCCACCCCTTTTTATTTATTATTTTTTTGCAGTGCTAGAAATTGAATCCAGGACTTTGCACATGTTAGACAAGCATTCTACTATTGAGCTACGTCCCCACCACCTTAATTTTTCTTCTAAATTTTGAAAAAAGATCTCGCTCAGTTGCCCAGGCTGGCATTGAATTTGTGATCCTCCTGGCTCCCTCTTAAGTACCTGGGGTTACAGATGTGTGACACCATGCCTGGCCCCACTGAATTATTTTATACATAAATAATAAGGAGTCGCAGAATGTTTTTGAGCATGAAGGTGTTATGCTCAAAGCAATGATTTGGCCGGGCACAGCTGCGCATGCCCGTATTCCCAGCTACTTAGGAGGTTGAGACAGGAGAATCACAAACTTGAGGCCAGCCTGGCAACTTAGCAACACTGTCTTAAAATTAAATAAAAAGGGTCAGGGATATAGTTCAGTGGCAGAGTGTTTGTGTAGCATGAGGTCCTGGATTCAATCTCTAGTGCTGCAAACAGAACAGAACAAAACAAAATAAACAAAAAACCCAATAGTTTGGAAAGACCGAGTGCTACATAGGATGCACTAGAGAGGAAAAGGGAAAGGAGCAGCCAAGACCAAACAGAAGTTACCCTGACAACTCCCCTCCAGATCAGTACTGGTGTAGGACAGGACTGTACGACAGGAATGGAAAAAAAAGATGCTGTTTATCTGCTGGTGAATAGGGATTCAGATGAAGGACTGGCCTAAGGTCACATAATGGTGCAATGGACTAGGACTCAGATTCACTCAGCCCCCAGGCATGTAGGTGTCCCTCCTAAGAGGGATGGATTTCTCCAAATCAAACCTGAACAGGGATAAAGCAGCAGGCTTGGGAGGAAAAGACAGAGGTTTCTCACTCTCCTCGTGCTGGCTGTGGACAGAGGGACCTCTGGAGATGAGGGGAATCTCAGGCAAAGGGACCTTCCCCTCTCTGGTGGCCACAGGGCTGGTTAGTTAGAATTAGGCCAAGGGCAAGGGCTTCTCCCACGGTGGACGCATGCACATAGCCCCTTGATCCACATTGCAGGCAGAGAGTAGTGGGCGGAGGGCCACAGGAGGTAGGACATGGAGTGGCTGACTCAGGCTTCAAGCCTGGGCATAACTAGAGGTGGGCTAGCAAGGTAAGAAAGGGGAGCAGGCGGGAGAGGCTCTGAGGGCCTCATACCTGCCTCAGAAAAACACGAGGTATGCAGCCTGGGTCTGTTAGCTGGCGTTGTCAACCCTACCAGCCCGGTGTCTCCTATTTCACCCTGTTGCTGCTCTCTTAGGGTCACTGCCTTGTCTCCATGTGGGTCTCTGAGAGCCCTCTCCGGGGAGCCATCCTGATGGAGCCCCTTCCATTGCATCCCCACATGGGAGGAAGATGATTGAGGCTTGGTGCAACCAGCTCTGGGACCCTGGGCAAGTCATGCCACTTTTCTGTGCCTCAATTTCCTCATTCCAAAATGGGCATACTAATGCCCCAGTGCCAGTTTCATGGGGACCCTGGGAGAGATGGGTTCGTATAATGGACGTAGGGCAGTGCCTGGCCCCTAGTAAGCATGCACCAGTGTTGTCATTGGCATCCCTGTGATTTCTGTCTCCTCCGCCCCCCCAGGTCATGCTATGGGATTTCTCTGCTGAACGAGGGTGCTCCGAGCACTGTGGTCCTTCCTCAGCCCAGGCTGTGCATTTTCTTTCTGAAGTTCCCCAGCCCAGGGACAGTGCCCACCTCCCTTGGCTCCTGCTGTCACCCTTACTTGGTAAGATGGTCTTGTATCGATCTTTGGAGGCATGGCCAGGGATGTCCAAGTCTTCAGGGCTGACAAAGTTTGAGGGGATCTTCTGGCAGGGGGAGAAGTAAGTGAACAGCAGATACCTTTCCCCAGCCTCCTTTTCTTCCCTCTCACCCTTTTCTGGTAGAATCGGGCCCTAGCCATTCCTTCTTGGCTTTGCCATGTAGGCCTGGGAAGGCTGGAGAGCAAATCAGGAAGCATGGGGGCAGCTCCTCTCCTGAGTCCTGGGGTTTGCTTCCTAAGGCTCCCAAAGAGTTGTCCATGATGGAGTGGGACCAATTGACTGCCTCTGATTCAGAGCAATGGACCTCAAGTTCTTACCAAGAATTCCTCCTCCAGCTGCTTGGGGCTGGGTGGCTGGTGCTGCAGGGCCCAGCAGGTAAGGGGGTGTCCAGCTGTGCGCAGAAAGTGTAGGGTGACCTCACGGGGTGTGTTCACTGAGCAGATGGGTTCCACGGTGGCCAGGGACTTCACGTCCAGCATCAGAGCCACGTTGGAGCCCCGCCTGCAGGCACAGCCAACCAGTGCCCAGTGAGTGCCCATTGATATTTGCTTTTCTTACCATTATTGTTACAGCACACACATGCCTGAGGAGACCACGCCTTGTCTTTCCTTTGACCCAAAGGCCCAGGATTCAAGGATTCAGCCTCCTTCTGCATGTTCTTCTCCCTTCTTCTTCCCCAACAGAGCAGCCTTGGACCCCACTACTCCTTCAGCTACCCACCTCTTCCCACTCCCAACCTGGCCCTGAGCCTCAGACCCACACCCAGAACCAGGCAGCCCCCAGCCTTGCCCTAGGGCCTGCCCAACCCAACCTGGCACTGAGGAAGCAGGCTAAGGGTTGACACAACCTCTGTGCCCAGACATGCAAAGGACATGCAAACAACATGCAAGTGAACATTATTGGTTTCCTTTCCAGGTTGGGGTCAATGCCTGAGGTCAGCTGTCAGAGCTGGAAGGTCACACAGAGGGCTGGGAGGACCCCACTCCAGGAAAGAGCTCACCTCTCCTGCAGCCGCACATGCTTCTTGGCTGGTGCTTTGGTGGGTGCAGGCTGGCTCATGGCTGCCCCCAAAGATGAGGCTGATGGCTGTTCTCTGGAGTGCTCCCCACAGGCCTGGACCATGCTGGGGTGGTGCTGGCCCAGGGCGGCTCACTCAGCCATGCTGTCTGCCTGGAAGAGAAAGTTCCACTGATGCTGGTGTCTGGCCTGCCAGATCAGCCAGAAGGAGGCTCCCAAGCCCAGGCCAGTCATCTGCTAGGTTTGCACTGGGGTGTCTTCTGCTCCCCCAAACTGGCCCATTTTCACCCTGGGAAGGGTGATATCTCTTTGGTGGTGGCTGGGGCAGTGGGCATCCTGGGGTTATAGCAAGGGCAAGGGGCAGGGTGGAGGTTGTGGACAAGGATAGAATCCAGGAGGAGGAAGAAGGAGGGGATATCATGGTGCACAGAGGTCTAAACAGGGGTCCAGGTGAGAGAGGGCAAGGGAGGAAATGTACGCTGTGGCTCATACAGAGGTATGGGAGAAAGCTCACAGAAACCGTCTAAGTCCAGCCAGTAGGCCTCCTCCGCATGACAGACTGGGGGCTGGCACCAGTTGGAGCCAGTCGGGACCCAGGCAGGCGGGGCAGCTGGCCCCCCGCAGGGTCCTCTCTTAACTGCTGGTGGTCCCACTCCCAAGTTCATGTCTGGCTTCTGGGGTCTCTGTCCAGGGAGATAGGCTGGGGGAGTTTCCTTCCTCCCCCTGCCCTTCCCCCATCTCCCGCCTCTGCAACCGTCACAGGAAATGGCCTCACCAAGCCCTGGAGCGACAGTGCATGGCGAGGACAGGACGGCTGGGGCACGAGAGAGACCTGGGAGGTGCTGAGGCCGTCCCCCCTGCCCCAGGGCAGCCCCTCCCCAGCGCCCAGTCCAGTGCCGCCGAGGTGGCGGGGGCCTGGGCTGCTGAGCCCACAGGGATGCAGGCCGGGGGGTGGGCAGCGGAGGCCGGCACAGGTGTGGGGACGCAGAGGGCTTCCCACAGCGGGTGGGCCCTTGGGCTCCTGCTCTCCCTGTGGCTGCCCTGCCCTCCTAGCCTCAGGGGCATCGCCTGCCCCAACACCCATTCGCCAGCCGGGCACGGTGGCCCCCAACTCCCCCCCACGCTCCCTGCTCTGCGATGCCCTCCGGTGTGCCCAGGGCTCACCCGACCCCAGGGCCTCAGCACTCCCGCACCTTCTTCCGATACTTACTGCAGCAGCTGTGTCCCCAGGCTGCCTCTTGCCAGCTGTCTATCTGTCTGTCGGTCTGTCTTTGAGGGCTGAGAAGGCTTCAGGAAGCCAGCTTCCTCCCTCCGCCCCTCCTCGCTTCCACCCACGCACACCCCAGCTGCATGCTGCCCTCCTGCGCCTGCTGCAGCTGCCACCAGAGGTCAGGGGCCTCCTGCCTGTGTCCCCTAGGGCACAGGGGTATCCTGGGAATGGGCAAGGGGCCGAGCCTTCCCTGACCACCCCATTTTCCCTGGCTCCCAAACCCTGCTCCCTCCTGCCATATTCGCTGCTCAGTCCTGGTTGTGTCCTGCTTCGGCCTGCTTCCTGGGCAGAGCTCAGCTCTCCCCCAGCTCTGTGTCATCCCTCAGAGACCCCCAGGTCGTTCCAACTTCACCCTACCTTAGCCACTTATTTCCACGTCTCTGCTTTGGTCCAGAGCGCTCTCCTTGGAAGCCCTTGCTGCTTCAAGCCTTGGGGATTCACACCCAAGCACAGGCCACATCTTCCCAGAGCAGATGTGGCACAGACGTGGGGCGGTGGAAGAGCAGGCAGGAATCCTGTTCTGCACACAAAGGAAGTGCCCAGGCCCAGGCCAGAAGCCTCCTTGCAAGCCCCAAGCCCACGCCTATGCTCGGCTCCCTTGCCCTGCATCGCTCAGCCCCCAGGGAGCAGATGGCAGAGCTGACCTGGAGGAGAGTCCGGGCGGTGCCCAGGGCCCTCTGCCCCTCGGATCCTCTTCTCAGAGCCCTGACATCTTCAGAAGACTTACAGGTAGTTGCCAGGCTTTGGGCTTCACACCCGTTACTGCCGTGTCCCTCTTTGCTGCTGGGCCACCTGGCTGCATGGGGCCTGGGGAGTGGCTTCCAAGTCCAGGACTCCACCACCGCCCACCCCTGCCTGGCTTTCCAAGGCCTCTTGCTGGCCCACAGCCCAGCTGCTTCGTGGTCATGGTCTTTGTGTGGTTCCTTTTACCTTGTAACAGTTCCAACTCCCTTCCCTTCCCGGCCCCCGACGCACACAATCCCAATTTTCTCTTCCTCCCACTTCTCTCATTCAGCTGTCAAAAGGTGACAGCCAGAAAGAAATGATGTACAATGAGTAGGCACAGGGGTGCAGGGGGCACACAGCAGGGGTGCTGGGGAGGGGGCTGGCCGTCTGCTGGCCCACGGGGGAGGAGGCTCAGGTGAAGACCAAGGATGGCCCTTGGGGGCTCAGGAGGCCTGGTAGCACCTGCCCTTGGCCTTGGCCTTGGCCTGGGGCGGGGACTGGCTCTTTCCTGAGCCTCTCCTTGGCTGAGCCTGGCTCACGCTTCCCTGGCATCTGTGCTCCTCAGGCAGTGGGTGGGTTTCCCTGTCGAGGAGGCCAGGGAGAGCTGGGGAAGCTGTTGCTGCAGTGCCAGGATGAGATGGCAGGAGCAGGAGCCTGGGAATCCCTAGCGTACTTGTGAGCAGGGACCTGGGGCTGGCCTCTGCCTCGACTTCCCCTCACAGGTCAGTGCTTCCCATGGTGGACAGTGGGGGCCCTGACATAAAGGGGGGGCAGAAGGGGGTTGGAAAGGGCCACCCCCTGGGGCCACTGTTGATTGTGATCAAGAACAGGAAGCTAGGCTACCACAGGGTGGGGGAGGAGGAAGTGGGCAAAGCTCTCCTCCACCCGCTGCCCAGAGTCCCCAGGTTTCCATGGTCTGAGCCCTGTTGGCCATAAGCCCACCCTGTCCTCTCTTAGGCTGGGGCCCAGCTAAGGCTGGGAGCTGAGATCTCGGGCACAGAGTGCAGATGCTGGGAGCTAGGGCATGGGGAGAGTAGTTAGCAGTGGGGTGGGGATAATGCTGGGCTCTCCCAGTTCCCTTTGGGTGGGTTTGGGTGGAGGGCAGAGTTGTTTCTGTCCTCCTGCCTACTCCCTCCCTCTTCTTCAAATGCCTGAATGTCCATGAAGGTATGGTGGCCAGAGCCTCCACCCCAAGCCTCACATGCGACAAGACAGATGGCCTTGCCCTGGTCTGAGAGTCTGGTCCATCCCTCTCCCGATAGGCTGTGCGGCGTCCTGGGTTCTGGGAGGCCCCCAAAGTGACCCCTCCCCACTGAAGGGGGCCCCATCCTGGCAGCTCCCAAAGTTCTGTCACACACACTGCTGATTTGTCTTCCTAGGTAGGGACTTAGGTTCCAGCTACCTGCGACTCCAGAGAACATACACTAATGGTTGGAAGCCAGGAAGAGCTGTACGTGATGAGCAAACTGGCTCGGTAGCTGCGTGACCTTGAGCTTCCCTGAGTATCCTCAGCAGCCTCTTGCCTCCCTGGGGGATGACCTTAGTGATCAGACAGAGGAGAAGCAAGAAGCAAGAAGCAGAAGCAAGGGAAACCGGCTAGGGAGTGGGCTGGCAGCCACGCGGGTGGAGGAGGCCGTGGTAGCCAGTGGAGCCTCTCAGTCGACCCCCATCCTCCTCACTGCAGCCGTCAGGGGCTTCAGCCCTACAGTGGGGAGCTCCAGGAGGGAGTTGCTTCCTGCAGCCCAGATGGGGCACAGTCCACTCCACAGAGGGCAGGGATGGTGCCCCAAGACCCCAGGCCAGGCCAGGCCAGGGAGGGCTGGTGCAGAGCGGGAACACATGCCTTGGTCCATCTGAGGCTTGCAGTTGCTCTCACTCCCCAGGCCTCCTTTGTCATTTCCAATTCCAGGGAGCTGTGAGCCACAACTCTGTCTCAAGTGTCAGAACCCTGTGGCATAAGGGGGGAGGGTGCATCTACAATTCCCAGAAGTCCCTGTTCTTTCCTGGGCAGCACCTAGGGAGCTCTGTGGCATACTGCTGTGGGCACCCGGAACCAAAGGCTGCCACCCTGAGGTCCCCAGCTGGAAAGGGCCAGCTGCTGGGCCAGGACTCCTTGTCCTGCTGTCCTCTCCAGCTGCCCTCCTTGGTTCCTCTCTGGAGAAGCCCTCTAAGAAGCAGGGCTTCTAATAAGAGAGCTGTCCCTGAGTCCGCTCCATCCCCGCTCAAACCTGGGCCAGCCTAAGCTGGCTTGCTCTGCTCAGAATGCAGGCCCAGGCTTGTCCCTGACACAGGGGAAGAGACAGACACTCAGCTCAGGGAGGAGGAGCAGGAGACACCAGAGGGGACACACAGTGAGCTGGACGAGAACTGCTGGGAGGGCAGGGGAGGGAGGCCCACTGAGCACGTCCCAGCCATGCCCCAGGCTGGCCATTCCAGATGCCACCCCACATGGCGACCCAGTTTCCCTGTGCTACCTTTCCGGTGCCGCTGGCAAAGGGGACTTTCCCATACACCTCACCCCAGCTGGGAGGACAGTGATCCAGCCCAGTGCAACACGGGAGCCGGGCCAGCCTGTGGGATCTCCGAGAAAGAGCCCAGCTCCTTGCTGCTGCTGGACTAGGGACCGCAGGACAGAGAAGAGTCTCTCCCTCCCACTGGCCACAGCAGCAAAGTGCACGTCTGTTCCCCAGTGTGGCCCTTCCTTCCCAGCAGCCTCTTGTCTCCCTCTTGTTCCATGTGGTCCACGGATGCCCACTCATGTGCCTCTGCAGACGGATGTGTGCACCCTCGAGGGGCCGTGTGTAATCCCACACAGTCGGCCTGCCCCGTCCTGTACCTCCCTGGCCCCTGGACTTGGGCCTTCCTTCAGCCCGGTGACCTTCCCCAGGGTGTGGGAGAGAGAGTGGGTGACTTGTCCTCTCCTGCCTGGTGATTATCTTCCTCCAGCATGGGAGAGGCCCGAGGCCTGGCTTCAGGCCGTGGGAGAGCAGGAGAGGGGCCGGAAGAACAGCCTGGGACAGCCGCGGAGATGGAGCAGGCTGGTTCACAGTGGAGCCAGGCCGGACCTGCCTCCTCCTCTGCCTCCTGGCTGGCTCTGTCCAGAAGGAACCAGTAAGGTGCTCTGAGACTTGGGAGGACCCCAGGGGTTCTCTAGGGAGAGGATGTGGGTTTGTCTGTGGGGGTGGCTGCCAGGGAGGAGACACAGCCCTTGCGGTACATTTTTGCTGAATGGAGAGGCTTGGCCTATGCGTAGGGGTGGGAGCGGGTGCTGATCCTTATCAGTCAGAGCCAGTGTCCCCCGCGGAGCCCCCTTTCCCATCCCCAGAGCTGCCCTGACTGGGTGAGGTGCTGGCAGGTGGGCCCTCTGGCCCCCTGAGGCTCTGTCCATGAGACCCGTTGTGGGGTACATGCTCTTGCCAACAGCCCTCTCTTTTATGGGCACCCTTGGGACCCCTTTATCTATTCCGTGTCCTGCTGTGTCTCCTCTGCTTAGATTCTGAATTAAGATGCTCCCACTCTGCCTCTCCCCTTTGTGGCTGCTGCTGGAGACGCCACTAGAAAGGAGAGTGTGAGGTGTTCCCAGGTGAGGTGGGGCAACAAGAGGGCTGTGCCCCCAGACAGGGCTGGGACCTCCCTCTCACATCAGCTCCCCTCTCATTGGCTCCCACCCTGCTTCTTTCAGAAGAGCACATGCATGCCTACACACACACACACACACACACACACACACGCACGCACGCACGCACGCACGCAGCCTGGAAAATCTGATGAGTCTGCAGTGCTGAGTTTCCAGGCCCCCATCCAGGGCTGGGTGGGCGGCTCTGAGGTTTGGGGCTGGGTGATGGGGGAGGGTGGCAGCCCCTGGCGCTGGCCTGAGCGAGCGCAGGGCTGGGTTGTCTCTGACGCAGCCCGCCCTCCCTGCCCGGATGGGTCTGGGGAAGTCTGGGCCCGCACAGAAACTGTCTCGCTGTTCAGAGACTCTGCACCTGTCTGTTTCCTGTGCACACTCCCTTCCTGGGCTGCTGAGTCCTGGGCTTCCTTCCCAGGACCCAGAGTGGAGGTTTCCTCTGCCCCTCCCCTGTCTCCCACCTGCTGATGTGGTGTGGGAGCACCTGAGAGAGCAGCACCAGGTGAGCATCTGGCTCCAGGTGGGGTAAAGCGAAGTCTGAGGTCCACATCTTCTAGTCCAGGCCTCACGCAGGTGCAGCTGGGCCTCTGGAGCCCGGTGGGGGTTGGGAGGGGCCGGGGAGCCAGGATGGGCGAAGCTCCCTCTAAGTGAGTGTTGTGGGGGAGGCACACAAACATCCTGGAGGTCCACCACCCTGAGGGGTCCGAGCAGAGGGACTGCAGCTGGAGGGCCAGGAGCAGTTTGCCATCTGTGCTCTGTGGAGCCAGAAGTCCCAGGTCCCAGTTCTTCCGCGTCTCTGTCCACTAGAGCATGGTGCCCTGTGGATGCTCAAAGGGGAGGCACACTCAGCTGGCCTGTCCACACTGAGCTCGGGACACATCCACCTGGCATGACTGACCCCTCCCCTGGCCCCTGTGGAACTCAGACATCCTATCTATCACACAGCCCCGCTTCTGGGGTCAGGGAGGGGGAGTTAGCCGGCTCTGCTACATGTGTCCATTTGCAAGGCCATTGCTCCTCTGCTCCACGAGCTTAGGGCATTCTCCTTCCTGACAGCCAGCTGCTGGAGTGGAGTGGAGGTGGGAGAGGAGCAGAGGAGCTGGGCTCAGCGAGCCGCAGTCTGGGAGCTGCAGTCCCTTCCACCTTCTGGGCCCTTGCCCAGTCTCCGCCTCTCTCCTCTCACCAAGCTGTGCCCAGCCTGGGCGGGGCCGGGTCAGGGGCTGGGGTTCAGAAGCAACCTCTGGCTCTTTGCTGCCTGTGTCTGCTTGAGAAGCTGCACTTCCCACCCTTGCCCATCTGCCCGCCCGCCAGCCAGCTGGGCAAGGGGCGGGTTGGGGGGACTGCCTCCTCCTCCCTCTGCCTCCCAAGTTTTCCTCTGCACACATCATCGGGATGAGGCCCCCAATCCTGTTCGCTGCTGTCCTCTGGCTCCAGGGTTTTTTGACTGAGGTAAGGTGGGCATGGAGGGACAGTGACCCATGAGTGGGCTCCTGCACCCCAGAGCATGTCCAGGCCTCCCACCTCTCCGCAGGACCCCACAGCTGGTCTGCATTAGGCAAGAGGGCGGCTGCTCCCTTCCCACCCGGACAGGGAGAATTCATGGCTCCAGCCCAGTGGCTGACTTCCACACCTTGGGCTTGCCTCCAGGAGGCGCCCCTCTGGCTGTACTAGGGGGGGCCATCCCTTGATCCTGGCCCTGTCCCCCGCGGCCTGTCCCAGAGGCCTGGACTCCAGAGGCCTCTGCCCATCTGCTCCCCTCTTCTCTCTCCTCCCTCCTGCAGGAAGATGCATGCCCCTCCCTGGAAGGGCGCCCGGACCAGGAGGGTGGAGGTAGGTGTCCGGCGGAGGGGCCCGGGGCTCAGCAGTGGGCCTTGCAGGGCTTATTTGTCATGCCGGGCCCTGCTTCTGCTCTTGCACCTCCCTTTTGGCCTTCTGCTCTTCTTTAGGGCAGAAGGTTCTCAAGACTGAATGCACCCCTTTCCCCTAGGCCCACCCCTGAACATCAGCAGCCAGGGAAGGTCTCCCAGCCTCCTTCTGAGTTGGGCAGCAGCACAGTCAGGTGGGCTTGGCCATGCCCTCCACCTCATACGTCTGAGCCCGCTTGGCTCCCCTGTTGGGCAGCAGCTCCAGGCCCTCACCAATGATTCCACCTTCGAGTTCCAGGACCTGGTGCTAGGGAGTCACTACCAGCTGCAAGTGACTGCCCTGCGACCCTGTGGGCAGAATGTCACCGTTACCCTCATGGCCCGCACTGGTAGGAGGCCTGAGGGAGAGGGAGAGGGGCTGGGCCTTGGGCCAAGGCAGGAGGTGGCAGGGGTCAGGGGAGCTGAAGTGGGCAGCTTCTCAGAGAAGCAGGTCTGGTATCAGAGCCCATTAGAAAACACCATGGAGGGGGAGATCCCACCACAGTGACCTCGGTTCTTCTCTCTCCCTTGGTGCAGCCCCATCCATTGTCCACGGACTGCAGCTCCGCAGCTCTGGGAGCCCAGCCAGCCTGGAGGCCTCATGGGGTGATGCCCCTGGGGAGAAGGACAGCTACCAACTGCTCCTCTACCACCAAGAATCCCAAACACTGGCACATAACATCTCTGTGTCCCCAGACATCCTGTCCTATAATTTTGGCAACCTCTTTCCAGGTACCAAGTATGTTTTAGAGTTGACTACCTGGGCTGGTGATCTCCAGGAGAAGACCAGCATCCACCAGTGGACAGGTAAGCTGGACCCCTGGCAGGGCCCTGGTGCCAGCCAGCCTGGGAATGATGGGAGAGATTGTGAACTCAGAGCCTCGTAGGCATCTGGGTACCCACATGGCAGGGCTCCTGGGATCCCTAGAATCCCTGCCAGCACCTGGCTCCAGGGGCCTTCCTAAGCTTGGCTTTGCTCTGTCATCATCCCTCCAGACCCTGTGCCTCCAGATCACCTGGTGCTGCATGCCCTGGGCACGAGTCCTGCAAGCTTCCTGGGACAGCTCCGAGGGGGCCACCTGGTTCCATCTGGTCCTCACAGACCTCCTAGGTGGCTCTAACCTGGCTGCAGTCATCAAACGAGGAGTCTCAAATCATACCTTCCTCCACCTGTCTCCAGGGACCCGCTATGAGCTGACACTTTATGCTGCTCCCGGGCCCCAACGGGTCACAGGGCCCAATGCCACCAAGTGGACCTGTAAGTCGGGGGATGGGGACACAACAGAGACTGCTCAGCTCTTCTGCTCCGGCAAGGAGCCTAGACTCAGCTGGTGGGGGAGTGGGGTTCTTCCGGAGGCTGGGAGAGTATGCCCTGAAGTTGCCTGGTGCCACTGAGAAGAGGATGATGGAAGGAATGGTTACCAGCAGTTGAGCCTCTCTCTGGGGTGGGCTCTGTGCTTGGCTCTTTCCGTGTATGGTTTCATTTACTTCTCAAGCAAGCCCTAGGAGGTCCTGTTACCCCATGTTACAGCAGAGGGAACTGAGGTGCATAGAGAAAGAACCCAAGGTCTATCTGGACCGGGCATGGACACAGTGGCCCTGTGCTTTTCACTCTGAGAATCACTGTTGTGCAAGGGTTAAGAGCAGAGGAGCCAAGCTGCCCAGGTTCTGTTTCTCTTCTGCCACCTGCTGGCTATGGGTCTCTGGACGAATTTTGTACCTTCTCTGTATGTTAGTTTCTGTATCTTTAAAAGCTGATGTCCAGCTCCTCGTGTTGTGAGGATTTAAGTGTGAGACGGTGTGTGCAGAGTCCTCAGAACCTCGCCGGTAGACACAAATATGCTCTTGTTTCCATCGTTGTTGTCCACGACCACATGGCAGCTGCCAGATGTTGGTGTTCATCCAGAGTGTGGCAAATAAATTTATGAAAACTATTCATGGGACGAGTTTTCAGACTAATGTCGGGATGAGACCTGGCCTGGTGCATGTAGAAAGCAGCTGTTGCAGAGAGCGACAGCTCTGCTCCTACTCTCAGTCCCTCTGTGTTCTCACCTGGAGCTCACCTGAGGTCTTTCAGGAGCATCTGCCCCCTTTCCACAGATCCCTTTGCCCCGCTGGACCTGGTGCTGACTCCCGTGCCCCCCGGACTCTGGGCAAGCTGGCAGGCAGGGCCAGGAGCCCGAGAGGCCTATGTGCTGAAGTTAAGAGGGCCAGTAGAGAAGAGTGCCACTCTGGGCCCTGAGGCCTGCAGTGCCACCTTCCCAGGACCCCTGGCCCCCGGACACTATGGTCTAGAGCTGGAGGTTCTGGCTGGGCCCTATGATGCCTGTGCCCAGGCCAGTGCCTGGCTGGATGGTGAGTCTGCACTGGGTGGATCGGGGTGGGGTCAGGGCCACCGGCCTCAGGAGGCAGAGGAGTCCTCATGCTCTGGGGTTCCTTTCCCGCCAGATTCTGCAGCCCAACCTAGGCAGAGCCATGGTGCCAAGCTGGAGCTGGACGGGCTCGAGGCCACCAGGGAGCCTGGGAGGCGGGCACTGCTTCATGCTGATGGTGATTCGGGCCTCCTGGGAAACATCTCCATGCCCTCTGGTACCAGCCACATCACCTTCTTTGGGCTGGTGCCCGGGGCCCGCTACCAGGTGGACATTGCTTCATCTCTGGGCACCATCACCCAGAGCCTCATGGGCCGCACACGTGAGTACCGCCACTGCATCCCCTGGACTCAAGCTGGAAGGCCTTGGCTTGGGAGGGCAGTCAGCACAGAGGAGAGGCCGCGAGTGCTGGGCGGAGCGCATTGCAGGGCCACTGACGCAGTGCGACCTCCGCTAAAGTGCCCCTCTCTTCAGGCCCGCTGGCACCACAGTCCCTGGAGGTCACCAGTAGGGCCAGCCTGTCTGAGCTGACCATGGGCTGGGCCCCAGCACCAGGGGAACAGGAAGGCTGCGTAGTCGCCTGGCACCAGGAAGGCAGCCAGAGGGGTCCGGGCAGCCGTGTGGACTTGGGCCCAGACGATTCCAGCGTGGCTCTGAGGGACCTGGTACCCGGCTCCTGCTACAGTGTGTCCGTGTGGGCCTGGGCAGGGAACCTCAGCTCCAGCACCCGGGGGACCCGCGCCTGCACTTGTGAGTTCCTGGCTCAGCCAGCCCAGGGCGCTGGGTGGAGACCAGTTTTCTCCATTTTCTGCCCTCTGTGCACCATACTTTGGACTCTGAGGGCCACAAGGCCAAGGAGGGGCCTTTTTTGAATCCCTTGCAAGCATCTTCTGCCTCCTACCAAGCAGCTGGCTGTCCATGCGCTCACCCACTTGTCCACGTGTTCGCCTTCCCTCCCTCCCTCTTCCCTTTCTTCCTTCCTTCCAGCAAATATTTAATCAATTAATCTCATTTTTTAGGTATCAGGTCAGGCAAAAATTATGAACAAGACAGTCAGAAAGGAAGATTGACAGATGTTTTATAGCTATAATATATATGGCTTACATACCGCGTTATAATAAGCGCATTGGTAGGAATACGTATGATGCATTAGCTTGAATCATATGAAACTGCATTCGGGTCGGTTAAAATGGCTGAATATCAGGCACTGTGTGTGGTTCAATCTGATGCTTTTGGACAGAAAGGACACCTGCCTAGAGTCAAAACCGGTTTCCCAGAAGGGGGGAGTGAGCGGAGGGAGAAACCTGTGGGGCTAGAGAGAAGGCTTTAGCAGGAGGCTGAGCATGCACCAAGGCCCACAGCCCCGGGCCAGATAGACGGACTGACAGTGCCGGAACCGCGTCAGCAGTCGAGCTGGGGAGCAGGGCCAGGCGTGTGAGAGAGCAGGAGCACAGCCTGAAGAAGGGCAGCAAACCAGGCACTGCCCTCGCCATGCCGTGGGGAGGGTGTGGGCAGGGTGGGCTTCTCTGCAAGAGGTTTCCCTGGGAGGAGAGGAAAGTGGGCTTTGAGCCTCGTGGAAGCTGGAATTTTAGGGCGGGAGGCTTTGGACCTTGTCTGGGAAAGAGGTAGGGGATTCGAGTCATTCTAAGTCCATTTCTCCCTGTCCTCCAACCCCCTGCTCCACCCGCCAACTTGAGCCTGGGCTTTGCTGGCCAGCCCCCTGTGCTGAGGGCTCCCTGGAGTCTCCCCCCGGGCGGCAGGGGTGGTTTCTGGCTGAGGCTTTATAGCCTGAAGCCCCTGGCTCTGGGCAGTGAGGAGACCCTGGGCGCAGAGACCCAGGACTTCTCCTGGGCCCAGCTGCCCAGGGGCTCTGAGTTCCTGGTGCGGCTGGCTGCCCTGCGGGGACTGGAGGAGAGCAGCAGCGCCAGCGGCACAGGCTGGACACGTGCGTGTTCGCCACTGCCCCCCTCCCACCCTGAGCCTCCCCTCTTGCATCAGGGCCACCGCCGCTGTCCTTTAGCACTGGACAGAGCTGGAAAAAGTCTGACCAGGGAGCCGGGAGAGCTGAGTTCCAGCTGGGGAGAGCAGGGCTCACCCTCCCTGAGCCTCAGTGTCCCCATCGAGAAAGAGGAGTGTTGATGAGGGACGGGGCCAGGCCGGTGGGGCTGAGCCCTGGGCTCCGGCTCTGAGGATGGCAGGGTGCTGCCTGGGCCCCAGACACTGCCTGTCCGGCCACCTGAGGCGCTTTAGAAGCTCCCTGGCTGCAGGGGCTGGGAAAAGGCCCACGGCTCAGCCTTTCTGCTGCCCAGCACAGCTCTGACCTCGGGAGGGCTGGTGGCAGGGGACAGTGTGTGACTGGTGACCTCTGCTCACCCCTATTGGAGCGCGGGCCTTGATCCCTGGACAGTTGGTGGACCTGGTTTAGGGCTGGGTGGCGGGCTCACTTGCTGTGCTGAACCCTGGCTCCATCCCGAGTGGTTCCTGGCTGGGCCTGGGGTGGGGGCCCAGCAGAGGCAGGTGTTCCCGTGTCTCCCTCAGATTCTTTCCTCTCTTCTTGTCTGCGCCCCGTACCTTGCCCTCCCTGCAGCCCCCCTCGCCCCGCCTCTGGTGAATGTGACCAGTGAAGGCCCCACCCAGCTCCAGGCGTCCTGGATCCATGCTTCTGGGGGCCAGGAGACCTACCAAGTGACCCTGTCCCAGGCAGGTACCTGGGTGGCCATGGGCACTGTGGGAGCAGAGGTGAACAGCACAAGCTTTCCCACGCTGACTCCGGGCACTCAGTACGAGGTGGAAGTTGGCTTGGGGGCCGGGCCCCTTCGAACCCCAGCGGCCAATGTTTCTGGCTGGACCTGTGAGTGGCGCATGAAAGGAAGGCAGCGGGTCGGGATCGCTGGGTGCCTCCCTCAGTGGCATCTTACCCCGCCATCCCACCTCGCCTCTGAGGGCGCTCCCTGGGTCAGTGAGCCCCTGGCACCATGCCCAGGGCTCTCAGGACCAAGGCTGTGGCCTAGTGACATCCTGCCCTTCCCTCCACAGTGCCCTGCATGCCCCACGAGGTGCTGGTGTCCATGCAGGCGAGCAGCCCTGTGGTCAGCCTGGCCTGGGCCAGCAGCCCCTTCGGGCAGGGTGTGTTCCACGCTCGGCTCTCAGAGTCCGGGCAGCTATCCTGGGAGCAGCGGCTGGAGCTGGGCCAAGCCCGCCTCATGCTGAGGGGCCTCCCGCTGGGTCGCAGTCTCTCCCTGTCGGTGTCGTGCCAGGCAGGGCCACTCCAGGCCTCTGCCCACCCCGTGGCACTGCCTGTCGGTGCCTTGTGGTCTGTGGGGGAGTTGGAGGGCCCCTGCCCCTTCCAGGTGGATGTTGTGCCCACCCGTCCCTAGTGATGCCCTCTAGGTGCCGCCAGACAAGCAGCAATGCCTCAAAGAGAAGTTGTTTCTCCCCTGTGGCTGATGCCCTTCCCTGAGCACAGATCCCCAGTCCCTTTGCACTTGCCGAATGAGAGCCCCTGACCCGGCTGCCATCCTCTTGGGGTGCACTGACACCCTACAAAGCAGTGCCTTTGGTGCCACAGAGCCTGGCCCCGTGGAGGATGTGCAGTGCCAGCCTGATGCCACCCACCTGGCCTTGAACTGGACAAAGCCTGCAGGGGACGTGGCTGCCTGTCTGGTGGTGGTGGAGCAGCTGGCAGCAGGAGGGAATGCTCACCTCGTGTTCCAGGCCAACACCTCTGAGGATGCTCTCACATTGTCCCCCTGGCACCTGCCACCTCCTACCGCCTCAGCCTCACTGTGCTGGGCAGGAATGGTCCATGGAGCCGGGCAGTCAGCCTGCTATGTGCCACTTCTGCAGAGGATAGGCACTTTCCCGCACCTCAGGGGCCCCCTCTGCTCCCCGGTGCCCCTCACCTCCGCCCTGGGGGCTGTCACTTGCTGGTTCTGGCTTCCCAGGGCTCTCCCTGCCCCTGAGTCGCAGCACTTTCCTCTGGCCCCCATGGTGCTGGTTCGATACCTTATTTTCCGGCTTTGCACCTCGGTGCCCTGGCTGAGGAATCTTCCCATCCTCACTCAGTTATGTGCATTAGCCGTTTGCTGCCAGGTGCTGAAAGAGGTGCTGGGCACCAGAAGGCATGGTCCCTGTCCTGGGAGACTGACGGTTAGGCGCCTTGTCAGGGCTTCACTTTCCTCCTGTCTGTCCACAGCTTGGCACCCCCCAGAGTTGGCTGCAGCCCCCCAGCTGGAGGAGCCTGAGATGGGGCTGGGGGTGATGATCACACGGGGCATGTTTGGCAAGGATGACGGTCTGATCCAGTGGTATGGGGTCATGGCCACCACCAACATGTCATGTGAGTCCTGGGCCCAGGAGGGGCTGGGAGGCCTGGGTGCTGCCAACATGGGGTCGTGAGAGGGACTCTCCGAAGCCCAGGGTGCTTTTGAGGGTAGGATGGTGTTGGACTGAGTGGAGAAAGCGCTCTAGAGAAACGTGGTGGCTCCCTTGTAGCAGAGCCTGGAGTCTCACGCCCACTGCCCACCTTGCTCTGTCTTCTCCCCCTTCCTCTCCTAGTGGCTCGGCCTTCCCGGGAAGCCCTCAGCCACACATGGTATGACCACTACTATGGAGGACACGATTCCTACCTGGCCGTCCTGCTCCCCAACCCCTTCTACCCGGGGCCCTGCATGGTACCAAGATCCTGGACGGTGCCCGTGGGTACGGAGGACTGTGGCCACACACAGGAGATATGTAACGGGCAGCTCAAACCTGGCTCCCAGTACAGGTGAGGGCTCAGGCTGCAGGCAGGGGACCGGGCTAGGTGTCATGTATGGGTTGTTCATCCATTCTTCCAACAATAGATCTGGACAGAGTCACCAAAGGAATGCATGTGCTACTCCGTAAGGATCAACAGAGCTATTTTGACTGGGTTTCCTGGCAGGCAAGGCAAAAAAAGGAATACTCATCCGTTACACGGGTCTTCTTTCAAAGAGGACCCAGGGATGCATTCTGTTTGGGCTCATCAGGAAAGAGCTAAGGCGATCCAGGTGGCTCCTCCTCGAGCTTCTTCCTGCTGTCCTGAGGACCAGGGCAGGAAGGTGGGGAGAAGCTGGAGGTGGTCTTCTCACCGGTGGCAGGGAGCCAGCGCACAGCCTGTACACAGCGGAGGGAGGAAGCGCTCACTCTCTGAGCACCACTGCCCATGGCCTGTTTCCCTGGAGGGGCTTTGCCTTGTGTGTCTGCCCTTCCCCTGCAGAACGTCCTGCTTCTCTGCCCCAGGTTCAGTGTGGCCGCCTTTTCCAGGCTCAGCCCGCCTGAGACTGTCATCTCCTTCTCAGCCTTCTCAGGTAGGGCGGGCCCCTGGCTGGGGCTCCCTCGGGACCTGGAGGTGGAGAGGGGTCAGGGGCTCGGGTTCTGAGGCTCAGACACAGGCAGCAGTGGAGGGGCTGAGCTTGGCTCCTGGGATATCACACACTGCCTAGCAGAGCTGGAATCCAGAGTCGCTGGTAAGGATGCCCTGGTTGTGGTCACCAGACGTGGCCTGGGTAAGCGGAGAGTGGGCGGCAGGAAAGACAGAGCTTGCTGCTGTTCACAGCCCCAGGCCTCCTCCACTGTTCTCTGAGCCTGCTGCTCCCCGGCCACTGAGCTTCTGGACCAGCTCTGGCCCACAGAAACGTGTGGCACCCTGCCAATGCCAAGTGAATCCCAAGTATAATCTGGAACCTCCTAGTAGCTATGCTGAAAAAGTAAACAGACAGCTGGGGATGTAACTCAGCAGTGGAGGGCTTACCTGGCATGCACGAGGCCCTGGGTTCTATCCTCAGTGCCGCAAAACAAAAGCAAGCCAATAGACAAAACAAAGAGTGGGGCATGGTGGCACACTGTAATCCCAGCACTCAGGAGGCTGAGGCAGGAGGATCACCTTGACTTCAAGGCCAGTCTTTGCTACATAGTGAGTTCAAGGCCAGCCTGGTCTATATAGCAAGACCCTGTCCGTGTGGAGGAAGATGTTGCTCTAGAAAGTCCAGGAAGCTAGGCCTTTCCCTGATCCTTTCCAGGGTTTCAGTCCGGGGGCAGGGCCATTAGAGTCCTTGCTGTATGTTCTCAGTTCCCATCTTGGCCAGCTCTAGCCTCAGGTTGCATCTAGGGCTTCTGGGGTACAGAGGGCTGTCACTGCACTCTCCACCCAGAGGCCCCAAGTCCAGGAGAGGCTGGCATGGGCTTCGGGGCCAGGGGAACAAGGCTGCCGTGCTGCACCCTTCTGGCCCTCCGAAGAGCCCAGGGCCAGTATCCCCCTTGCAGCGGTGCCCCTGCCGGCTGTGGTGGGCGTCATGGTGGGCTGTGCTCTCACCGTCTGTCCCGTGCTGGGCCTGCTCGGTTGGTGGGGGAGTGAGGGGACAGAGGTGAGTGGAGGGGGCCTGGGGGAGAGGCCTGTGACCAGGGGAGCCAGAGCCCACCCTGGAGCTGCCTTCCACAGGCCTCCCTGCCTCTCCCTCAGCAGGGCGGGGAAGGACAGCTCTTCCCACCAGCTGACGCCTCACGGCCTTCGGTGAGTGCTCTTTCTCATGCTTCCTCCGCGGCGGGCTGCGGGGGCAGCATGGCTCCACTGTGCAGGGTCACAGTGGCGTTGCCAGGGCTCCCCTGGCACCCAGACAGAGGCTCCAGGTCTTTGCCAGCCTCCCAGCCCCTCCCCCTCACAGGCAGACTCTCCTCTTTCTCCTCCAAACTCACTGTAAAACTCAAATTTATTCTAAAGAATTGGCTGGCCAGATATGGCGGAGCACGCCTGTCATCCCAGCTGCTTGGAAGGCTGACACAGTTCAAGACCAGCCTGGATAACTTAGTGAGACCCTGTCTCAGAATAAAAAGGACTGGAGGTGTAGCTCAGTGGTAGACAGCTTCCCTAATATGCACAAGGCCCTAGGTTCAATCCCTAGTACTGGAAAAAAAAATGGCTGTGTGATTGTGGGATCGAAATTCTGACGGGGTAGGCAGCTGACCTCAGGGGAGCATCAGAAGGTTTCTGCTGACCTAATTCCTTCCCCCTCTGGAGAGGTCAGTCCGTTCCATTCAAGCCTTTATCCCATTGGATGAAGCGTCCCCATGTGAGGAGAATAATCTGCCTTACTCAAAGTCAGCCAATTCCAGTGTTTATCTCATCCAGAACACACCTGCACAGCAACGTCCAGAATAGTGTTTGACCAAATATCTGGACACTGTGGCTCAACGACCAAGTTGACACATGAAATGAACCACCATGCCCACCTACTACCAACCTTACTGGCTTGGGCTAATCACATGTGTTATATTAGGCCACTCTCCTTTCCCCATACTGGCTTCCTGTTGAATTGACCTTAACCGAGCACCAGCCTTGTAGGGAGGAGTCAGAAAGACGCATATGTGCATGGCTGTATAGCTCTTGTTTCCTGCCTCCTCTCCTCCTCTGCTCCCTTCTTCTGTCTTCCCACGTTGGCAGTTCGCTGCCCAGGCTGGACAGTGGAGGAGCTTGCTGAAACACAAGTGGCTACACTCGGGGTCTGCATTTGCAGCAGCCCCTGCCCACCCTGAGATCAGGTTGTGCAGCCAGCTCTGCACCTGTCACCTCCCTCTCCCACCAGGTGGACCCACCAGCCCATCCCCATGCACAGCTTCTAGCAGAGCTTCGAGAACAAGAGTGCACATGCGCACCAGGCTTTCTTTCAAGAGTTTGAGGTAAGGCCTGGTCTGCCCACAGGTTCAGGTGGGAGGACCAGGGGCCTTCTAGGCTGGGCTGGACCTCACAGGCATCATGCCTGCCCCTTGCCTGCTGCGGTTTCTGTAACCAGTGCCTGCCTTGATCCCTGCAGGAACTGAAGGAGGAGGGCAGGGAGCAGCCCAGATTGGAAGCCGAACACCCTGCCAATATCACCAAAAACTGTTACCCACATGTGCTGCCCTGTGATTACGGGGCCGGGCGGGCCTGGGCGGAGGGCCAGAGCTTGGCCTGGGGGAGAACCCCGGACACATGGCTTTCACCCTCCGCAGATGACCACTCCAGGGTCGGGCTGGCCCAGCTGGAGGGAAAGCCCCATTCCGACTACATCAATGCCAACTTCATCCCAGTAAGGGCTGCGGTGGGGCTGTCTGCGGGGCATGTGTGCGGGACATGGGCTAGCTTGCAGGGCACGACATCCTGCCCAGCTTTAGCAGCCGTCCACGAAGCCCACAGCTTCTGCTCGTTGGGAGCAATCCAATGGGCGGCTTCTGTGGGTCTGCCTGTGTGCCAGGCTCTGTGCTGGGCCCCGGGGCCAGGACAAAGGCGGCCACATCCATGCCTTCCAAGGAAAGAGCACATGGCATGTGTGTGACCAGTGCTGGAGTAGGGGAACTAGCACTGTGCTCAGAGCTCACGGAAGAAGGACAGATCTGGTCCTCCTGAGGAATCAGGAAAGATTTCCAAGAGGAGGGGATGCTCAGTCTCTTGGAGGACGAGTGGAGGTTTGATAAGAGATGAAAGAGAGAAGACATCATTCTAACCAAATGGAAAACAGCTAGGCAGGAGCGTACAGACCTGGGGTGTGTGTGTGTGTGTGTGTGTGTGTGTGTGCGCGCTCGCGTGTGTGCACATGCAGTGCTAATGGAATGAATGTAAGTAGTTGTGTTGAGGGATGGGGGATGGAAAAGGCAGAGTGGGGTTGGATGAAGGAGGACCTTTATTCTTAGGCTGAGGGCCCTGGATTCTGTTTGGTGGGCAATGGGGAGCCATGGGAGGTTTCTGAGGATGGAAGAAAGGTAGGGTTTGCTTTTAGGAAGGTCACTATAGGACTGGTGACGAGGGTGCACTGGATAAGGCTGTTCTAGCATGCCTGGGTTTTGTTACCTTTGGGTAGGCTTTCTCATTTCTTGGAGGTAGGGCGTAGGTGGTGCTAGTGTCCCCGAAGTCTCCTGTCCTGTGTGAGCCCTCGGTGCCCACGCGTGTTCGTGTGTTTGCACACGTGTAGGCATGCACACGGCCTCTTCACTCCTGGAGGTCACACAGGGTCCTGTCTACGGCTGCGTGTTCGGTGGGGCCAAGGGACCAAGCCTCACCTGTTAAACGTGTTCCCGCCCTCCACCCCGAACCTTAGGGCTACACTCACCCTCAAAAGCACATTGCCACCCAGGGGCCTCTCTGGAAGACTTCTGGCGGCTGGTGTGGGAGCAGCAGATCCACACCATCGTCCTTTTGACCGTGGGCGTGGAGAGGGGGAGGGTGAGCGTGCCCTGCAGCTTCCCAGCATGGCCAGCAGGGGGCACACAGCCTCCTTGCAGGGATGGCCCCCTTGCTATTTTCTGCAGGGATGTGGGGCAGACAGGACTGAGGAGGCCAGTCAGGCCTGGGGGCTGGTGGGGGGTCCCCAGGGTCACCGCAGGTGGGGAGCAGGAAGGATCAGGTACATAAGCTCCTGGCTTGACTCAGGGACTCGGCCACCTTCCTCTCCATACGCCTGGGGTATCTCCTGTGTTCCTGACTCTGTACACACCAAGAGAGGCTGCCGAGTCTGTCCTTCCACAGAGGCAGCAAGGCAAAGGTAGAGAGCTCCTAAATCAGGGCCGCCAGTTTCACAAAGCAGCCTGTCACTGATGCAGAGTTCACTTGGTCACATGAGGGTCCAGGGAGGGAGGTGAAAGCCCAGCCACTTCTGGGGGAGGTGGCCTCAGAGCTGGGGGCGAGGAGCAGAATTTCTTCAGAGTGGCAGGCACCAAAAAGATGGGTGAGGGGCTGGGATGGGCACAGCAGGGGTGGCAGTGATGGGGCTGGGCCCATAGCCACCCGCCCGTCTGACCCTTGGTCCTAGGTGCTGTGTGAGCATTACTGGCCAGCCCACTCCACCCCCATCATCCTCGGTCGCATGGCCATCCACCTCCTGGCGGAGGAGCCCGGGGACGAGTGGACCAAGAGGGAGTTCCAGCTGCAGCACGTGTGTGCCCAGGTTCAGGGCAGGCGGGGCGGGCGTTGCCGCTCGGACTCAGAGATGGTCCCCTCCTGGGTCCCCAGCTCCTGACTCAGCTCAGGGCTCTCGCCCGCCACAGCCCTCTGCCAGCTACAGGGGCTGTGACCCCCAGGGCAGGGAAGCCAGGGACTGGAGTCACCCCAGCCTAGGCGCCCCCTGCAGGCAGAGGTGACCCAGGAGGCCAGACGGGCCCAGGGAAGCATCAAGACTGGGGCGGGGGACACTCCGTCCGAGGGGGCCTCACCCCTGCCCTTGGGGAGCTGGTGAGGGGCCTTAGGGGTAGGAAGTCACAGTGCAGTCGCATGGCCCCACCCCTCCTGCCCAGCACAAACAGCGGAGGGTAAAGCAGCTGCAGTTCACCACCTGGCCAGACCACAGCGTCCCCGAGGCCCCCGGCCCCCTGCTTGCCTTTGTGGAGCTGGTACGGGAGCAGGCGAGGGCCACGCAGGGCACTGGGCCCATCCTGGTGCACTGCAGGTGAGGGCAGCTGGGGGCTGCAGAGGACCCTGCCTGGCCTTAAGCAGGGGGACAGTGGGGACACCAGTGGCCCTCCCCGACTCAGCTCCACAGGGGCTGTCCCTGCAGCGTGGGTGTTGGCCGGACAGGCACCTTTGTGGCCCTTTTGAGGCTGCTGCAGCAGCTGGAGGAGGAGCAGGTGGTGGATGTGTTCAACACGGTGTACACGCTCCAGCTGCACTGGCCCCTCATGATCCAGACCCCGGTGAGGGCCTCGGCACCCCAGGGGAGTGGGGTGGGTGGGTGGCTTCAGGGGCGTGGTCATAGAGGGGCCAGGGAAAGGAGCTCGCAGGGGCATATGGAGGGGCCCAAGGCAAGAGGCTCAAAGGAGCCACATCCTACTTGGGCTGCTGTTTTCCTTTGTGGGAAAGGGGAGGAGGGACTGGCCCCTGCCAGCTTGGACCCCGGACAGCACAGGGGAGGCTCCCATTGGGCTCCCTTGCCCCTCCTGTCACACTCCAGCCTTGCAGCAGGGCCTGGCTGATCAGCAGCTGGGCTGCCCGGCTTAGCAGGCTGATGCCTTCTCCCCCGCCAGTATATCTTCCTGCACAGCTGCATCCTGGGCAGAATTCTGCAAGGGCCCTGTGGCACCTCTGAGTGAGTCTGGCTCCGCTTGGCTCTGAGCAGAGAAGACATAGCAGCAGCTGGCCAACCCCGTATGCCTTCTCCCCTCTGCCTCCCCAACCCAGGACTGGACCCATCTCTGTGGCGAACTTCGCACAGGCGCGTGTCAAGAGGGCGGCCAATGCCAATGTGGCTTCCTGAAGGAGTATGAGGTATGCTTTGGGCCGGGCAAGAGCGGCGAGGGTGAGCACCTCTCCCCTGCCTGGCCTCAGGGTGCCCATCTCCCAGCTCCTGCTGCAGGCTATCAAGAACAAGGCTGGCTCTTCAACGCCCCCTCCTGGCTATGAGCAGGACAGCACTGGCTCCGTGAGTTCCACTGGGGACCAGGATTGGGGTGAGCGTGGGCTGGGGACCACCTGCAGCCTCACACTCAGCACTCTCCTGCAGGTGCTCGCTCTCAGCTCCAGCCTTCTCCCATGGGAGAGAGCTCCGCTGATGATGTCCCGGAAGCCTGGCTCTTTCCTGTGAGATGATGCTGGTCATCCCCTCTGACCACTTGTGCTTCTCAGGCTGGGACTGGTGGTTTGGGGGCTCCTAGAGCCCCAGGATGGGCGGGGGACACCTCAGTGCCTGGGGGCCAATGAGCTGTGCTCTGCAGGGGGGACCTTTGGGCCATGACCAGGTGGTGCTGACCGGGCCTGTGGGGCCGGAGGAGCTCTGGGAGCTGGTGTGGGAGCACAGGGCCCATGTGCTGGTTTCCTTGAGCCCACCTGACACCCAGGAGAAGGTGAGGAGAGCAGAGACAGAGGGTAGGCAGGGCAGGCGCTGGGCCGAGGTGTGAGGAATGTGTGCTGCTGTCCTCGATGAGGGTATTGGTAAGACCTTAGCAAGCTGAGCTCTGATTGGGTCCCAGCCGCAGGTGTTCTAACCAACAGAGATGCAGCTCGTCATCCCAGGCACAGTGACAGCACACTGGGTGGTGGACAGCAGCACTGCCAGCTGGCTCTGTACTCTCTTCAGGGTCACACATGTAGGTGCTGAGGCCATAGGACATGGGGAGGTGGGCGGTGGGGCAGGGTCTTGCTGGCTTCCTCCTGCCCTCTAAGCATCGATGCTCATCTCATCTTTGCCCAGGGAGAGAGTGGGACAGAGAGGCTGGTACAGCGGCTGCAGTTCCCATGCCAGGAGCCCAGGCACAAGCTGCCTGCTACCTCCCTGCTGCCTTTCTTGGCTGCCGTGGGCCAGTGCTGCTTCCGAGGCAGGAGCAAGAAGCCTGGTACACTACTCAGCTACCTCAGGTGCTGGAGGACAAATCTCACTGAGCCCTGCATGGGTTATGGGTCAAAAGAACAGTCTCCCAATGCCCTTGTCTCCTCTTGCCTTGTCCTCAGGGTTGTGGTAGGGTTTACCCCCTCTCTGCCTGGGTCCAGCCTGGCCAGTTGACCAAGAGCCCAGGAGCTTGTTCCAGCCCCTGGGCCCAGGCCTGGTTTCCCCTGTCGCTGGATACCCCCTCCAGATACCCCATCCAACTCCTGGTCCATTGCAACAGGGGTGCAGCCCAGCTGGGCACCTTCCTGGCCATGGAGCAGCTGCTGCAGCAGGCAGGGGCCGAGCAGACTGTGGATGTCTTTAAAGCAGCCCTGCAGCAGTCACAGGCCTGTGCCCTCATGACCTCCACTCTGGTGAGAGGTGACCAGGGCCTCAGCTGTGGGAAAGGGTGGGGGGAGGTAAGGCAGGTTTGCTCCAGCTACAAGCCGCCCCTGGCTAATGCTATTCCTGTCTCCACCAGGTGGCGCTGTGGGCGCTGCTCTCGCCTGGATGGCGTCCTAGGGATTGCGAGACCCTGGGGCTTTTCCCTGTCTGGTTTGGGCAGGAAGAGTGAGCCCCCTTATCCTTTTCTCCCCTCAGGAGCAGTATATCTACCTCTACGACTGAACAGCGCACTGGTGGATGGGCTGCCCTGAGTCCGGAAGCAGCCTGCGCCCTGCCAGGCCTGCCCCAGCAAGTCCCCGGGGCCTGGCTTCCCGGAGGGCACCGTGATGTGAAGAGCCAGAGGCGGGAAATAAAGATGTGGTCAGGGCTAAGCTGAGCTCTCTGTCTGTCCGCCCTCTGACATGGGGGCTAACACAGGGCCTGTGGGCTCATATGGTGCAGGGCTGGGAGCTGGGGCCCGAGGTCAAGCTGAGTCAGCCGACAGCCCCCCCCCCCCATCGAGGGATCTGGAGATGGGAAAGCTAAGAGGGCAGGGAGGAGGGTGGGGTGAGTGTCCCAGACACTGGAGGACTGTACTGCACATCCTGACGTGATTGCCATGGCCTCACAAGCTCCTGCCTGCCTTCCCGTTAGACTGCAGTTTCCGGGTGCCATGGTTCCTGACGCTGGTTGCTGATAGCCCTATTGGAGGGCCCCGGGAAGAACAGAGAAAGCCAGGACAAGTCAAACATTCTTTAAATGGAGGCAGACCCCCCCACCTGGGGTAGGGGACAGGGGTCTCACTGGGCAGTCTCAGTTCCTTAGGGACATGCAAGGCATCGGAGGTCAGTGGGGACGGGGTCCTTCTCAGGCCCGGTTGAAGAGAAGTTGGGCTTTCTCCCCATCAGGGGCCTCCCCAGAGTGGGGTTGGGCTCTGGTGCTGCCCCGGGAGGACTTAATGACAAGGTCCTCTTCTATGCACTGTGTTCAGCAGGAGACCACGGTGTTGGTGCATGCTGACCCTCGCAGGGACAGGCTGGGCACAGCTCTGCACTACCCAACCACTCAAGCTACAGTGCAGCTCAGTGGTGGTCCTTCCAGCTGAGCCCCTCACAGCAGGGACAGGGATGGAGCCAAGGTCACAGGGGCCTGAGCCAGGAATGCAGCCTGGCACGAGGGGCTCTGCGAGGCGCTGCCGTCTGGGGTCTTTATTGCTGAGCAGGGCCACCCTAAGGCTCACCTTCCACTCTTAGGGCCATGGCCCCAGCTCGAGTCCTGGGGTCTGGATCTGGTAGCTTCGCTGTCCAGCTGTGCAGCCCGTCCCATCCCGGGAGGTCAGTAGGGGGTGGAGAGGGATTGATGAGAGCGTCCCGGATATGGAAGGGCAGGGGGAAGGAGCCTGAGTCCCCGAGGTCCCTGTGTTTCTGGAGGTCCCTCTGGGAGGACTGTGGGGGAGAGCAAAGCTGGGCACAGGGGGCGCTCAACCCGCTCTAGCTCTCCGCTGGGGCTGGCTCAGGAAGACCCTGAGAAAGACGCCAGAGAAAACAAGAGGTTACACAGCCAGCCAAGTACAGGGAGAAAACAGGGACTGGACTCCAGTTCTAACCCCTATTCTCCCTGAGGAGCTGGAGATGGCCAGGTAGAGTCTAGCCGAGAAGAGGCTAAGCGGCAGCTGCAGCACTCAGCCTCCAGGTGGCGCCAATCTGCTGACTTTCTGGCAGGCGCTGACAAGCCTCTGAGCTTATCGAAGCTTCTTGGCCTCGCTACCCTGGGAGCCGAGACCAAGGTGATCCCGGCCGGCCGTAACCCTGACAGAGAGCGCACTGCTGCCTCTGCAGCCCTGTGCACCGGGAAGATCCGTGCCCATTTCCTTGGTGTCAAGGCCTGGCCTTCCGTGCCCACTTCCTCTCGGGCCAGTTGCAGCGCACCCGGCTCCCGAAGCAGCCCCACGCTCGCTTTCCCTTCTCATCCAGGGCGCAGGGCGAGGACCCGAGCTCCCGCTCCGGGGCTGCCCCCACCAGCTGTATGATCCTGAGCAAACCGCTTCCCTTGGGTCTGGGCCCCTCCGGGAGGGGGCCTCGGAGACCCTCAAAGTCTCTCTCCCCGGGCCTCCTCTGGGTCCCACGTGACCCTGTGGCTGTCCCTAGAGGCGAGGGCCGCGAGCCTCCCTGGGCCAGGCTCCGGGGCCCCTCTTCCAACAAGCGCAGGTCTCCCACACGCTGAGCCTCCTGGCTTTGGGTTCCCCCCACCCCGCCCCTTTCCCTTTCCTGGATGAAATTCCTGCCAGTTTGGAAGGAAGGAGGGAAGGGGAGCGAGGCGCAGCTTAGAAAGCTTCCTTGACTCCTCCTCCGCCTGTCTCCCTCCCTTGCCAAGTCCAGCCTGTGAAACTGAATAACGACGATCACTCAACAATGCGTGCCCCTCTCTGACGGCAAGGTCCCTGCGCTCCCGCCGCCGCCGAGCAGAGCCCGCGGGGCGGCCCCTACCGACGGCGCAGCCCGCGGGACCCGAAGGCCGCTGCGCCCTGCGCTCGCCCGAGCACCCGCCAGGTGCTCCGTAGCCCGGCCGCCGAGATGCCCAGCCCGCGCGGGGTCTGGGCGCTGTGGCTCTGCGCCGCGCTGTGCGCCTCCTGGGGCGCGGACGGCGTCCCCCAGCCCGGACAGGGGCGCGCCGCCTGCCCGGCCCCCTGCCACTGCCAGGAGGATGGCATCATGCTGTCGGCCGACTGCTCGGAGCTCGGGCTCTCCGCTGTGCCAGGGGACCTGGATCCCCTGACGGCTTACCTGTGAGTACTCGCCCGCTAGTGCTCTGTCCCCCAGCGGTCTGGGGCACCTGCCCGCTGGGTGCCTGGGGCATGGGCATCCCCAGGAGGAGGGCGCTCCCCCTTCCGAGTCCTGCTGAAGGACTGAGAGGCAGGGCTAGGCAGCAGTGAGCCCTGCTTCCCTTGCTGGGAAGGCGGGCTGCAGACTCCCAGCAGGACGGGCAGAGCTGGCAGCCTCTTCTCTCGCTGACTTCTCCAGCAGAGCAGCGCCCAGACAGAGGCTGAGGGCGACGCCGACTGCCCGGGGCCAGAGTGAGGGGAGCGTGCTCGGGTGGGAGGTGGGGGTGACATCCGTCCCTCTGCGGGGCAAGGACAGCAGAGCCATCACCAGCTTGGTGCGGGGTGGCACAGCGGGGGGGGGGCTGGCCCACTCTGGTCCCCTCAGAAAGGGACCCTGCCAGCCTGGTCTCCCTCTGCTGAGCCCCCGCCTCCAGGCCTCCCTAAAGCCGTGTCCCAGGAGGCCGCGTTGGAGACACTAATTTGTGGGCAGGCGCCGAGGCTGAAAACCAGAGAACCATTTTTAGAGTCTGAGTTAGGGTGAGATGGCTCGTGAGGGGACCCTAGTGGGAGCAGCCATTCCGGGACGGCTCCGGAGAGCTTCCCCTCAGAGCTGGGGCCTGGGGCGGGAGGGGGTGAGAGCACCTCCAGAGCACCTGCCCCGCCCCACCCTGCTCTGGGGACTCAGAGGAACCCTCCCTCGGCCTCCCCCTCCCCCGGTGGCTCCTCAGAGGAGGGACAGCAGGTGGGACAGTCTGAGGCCACTTGCTCAGGGGCAGGATCCTAGAACTACTCCGGGCTCCTTGCAGCTTTGGGGTCCCAGGAGAGGGGAGCCCCATGGAAGAGGGACCAGGACTAGTCTTTTTTTTTTCTAGTACCAGGAATCGAACACAAGACCTTGTGCTTGCCACGCAGGTGCCCATGGGCTAGGCTTTATAGGGTTCAGCAAGAGTGTATGGGACTTGCCAGGTGTGGTGGTGCACACCTGTAATCCCAGCACTCGGGAGGCTGAGGTGGAAGGATCACTGTCTGAGGCCAGCCTGGGCTACATAGTGAGTTCAAAGCCAGCCTGGACTATACAACCAGACCTTGTCTTCTTAAAAAAGAGCATATGGGACTAAATGGGATCAGGTGTTTAGGGTTGGCAGGGTCCTGGTTGGCGTAGGGATCCTAAGGGCAATTCCTCACAGGGCTCCCCTCCCAACCCCTGTCACCAGCTGAAATGTCCTCATCCACTTCAAAGGGCACAAGCTGTGTTCCAGGGGAGGGCGTGAGAAGGAGAAAATAATGTCCATGTTCCGGAGAAGCCAACTGAGTCCTGTACCGTCCAGGGGATGGTGGCAGAGAAAGGCACAGAAACTTGAGGCCAAAACTGTGACAGAGCCCCGGGAAGCTGTGAGGCAGCCCGGCAGCTGGCAGAGCAGCCTAGGTCCAGCAGTGCTGTACTGAGGGTAGATGACATGGTGTCCCTGGAAGACACTGGCTGAAAAGAGCTGGGAAACGGCTTCCGCTTAGCCTGGCTGGGTGGGGGTGGACCCTTCCCTGGGTTAAAGGGTCAGGGGCCATAGGACCGTCCCAGGTGGTCAGTCCTGACTCCTGTCCGAGAATCCAAGTCTTCCCAGACTCACCCACGACCCTTTCTCCGCCAGGACCTAGGAAGGAGGTCAAGTGCCACTTCTGGGATCCGAGCATCCCACCATCCAGGCAGATAGATTGGGATATGGTTCCCTTGGTTATTCAAACTGCCTTTCGGTTCAGTAGAGGTGGGATTTCTGAGCTGGTCCTGAGTCTCCCTGGGGATTAAGAAAGCTTCTGGGGGCAGCAGAGAGAGGATCGGGAGCTGGGTCCCAACACAAAGTGGGGACGTCAGTGGAGGTGGAGTCTGGAGCATTGGAGGGAGGTGGGGAGGTCCCTGTCCTCTGCCATGGGCTGTGGAGGGGCCACGCATGGATGGTGCGTGGAGGGACTTCTGCTGCCCTGAGGCTCAGAGGAGGTGCTGCGAAGGCATCTGAAGGGCGAGGGCATCAGGAAACCAGGCTTGGGCTCCCGTCCCCTCTCAGCAGTGTTAAGAGAGGCCTGGGTCTGCAGAAGCTACTTCCACATCCTCTTATTCATTCCCTGACTCCACCCCGATACTGGACATCTGCCCTCCACCCCAGGGTGGTGTAAATCCCTCCTTCTAGCCTGTACCTTCAGCGACGTAGCTGCCCCCGCTTCTCTCCGTTCCTGGTTCCAGGAAAGATTGGGAAGTCCTCTTTGTGTCCTTTGCTTTGACACTCAAATTCAAAACCTATGACTATTCTGGGGCCCAATTGCCAGCCTGTTTGATCGTGGTTGGGAGTGCCAACTTCACTTACTCACAGTCCTTCAAGTGTTTCTTACATTTAAGACAATTTTTTTTGGTAGCAGGGATCAAACTCTGGACCTTGCGCTTGCCAGGCAGGCGCTGTGCTGCTGAGCTACATCCCCAGCCCAAATGTCTCTTTTTTAAAAGTCTCCTGGGTTGGGCCAGGGATTTGGCTCAGTGGTTCCAGCGCCTGCCTCGGAAGTGTAAGGTCTGGAGTTTGATCCCCGGTACCAAAAAATAAATAAATAAAAGTCTCCTGGGTCAGGCGTGATGGCACATGCCTATAATTCCAGCTAGTGAGGAGGCTGAAGCAGGAGAATTGCAAATTTGAGCCTAGCCTGGGCAATTTGGCAAGCCCCTGCCCCCAAGTTTAAAAGGGCTGGGGCTTGGGGCTGTAGCTTGGTGGTAGAGCCCTTGCCTAGCATGCATGAGGCCTGAGGCCCTGGTTTCAAACCCCAGAAGAGAAATAAAGTCCTCTCCTAGGAGGCTCAGTGAGACTTGCTTGGTTCTGCATCCCCCCGACTCCCTGGATAAGGCTCTTCAGGGAATGGACTGGGAGGAGCTGGGGCTGTTGGCTCTGGGGTGTTCTGATCTGACAGCGAAGAGAAGGTGCAGAGCCTCTGGCTCCATCCCGTCACACATGCACATGAGGGGGAGACAGGAATATACAGACAGCAAATATTTGCTGGGCAAATACGACCCAGCATTTCCTCAGAGCAGGAGAGAAAAAGCTTGAGGGCAGCCAGCTAGAGAAGCTCTGAGGCTCACACACTTGCAGGCACCCCTCAGCACCCACTTCCTTCATCCACAGCCACCAAGAGAAAGGGAGGGGCCTCCACTGCATGCTTTAGCATCCCCTGCCCTCCCTCCTGCAATGCTTTCTTGGGAATTCGGACTCAGACTTGTGTGAAAGATCAGGGTATGTCCGTGTGTAGATTCAGGGTAACCTACAGCCTCCTCATTGCTGCTCCGGATGTCTGTAACCAAAGAGATGGAGGGAGGATGTTGGAGGGCAAGAGAGCGGGGGTTTGAATCTTAAGAGTCAGGCATCACAGGGTGTGGTGTCACACACCTGTAATTCTAGCACTCGGGAGGCTGAGACAGGAGGATTGCTTCAGTTCAAGACCAGCCTGGACTACATAGTGAGACCCTGTCTCAGAAAACAGAACAAACAACAACAAAAGAGTCCAGCTTCAACCACACTATGCAGGGCCTGAGTTGTACGAACCTGAGCCAGTTCCTTTGCCCCCGTGGGACTCAGTTTCCTCATCTATAAATGGATCTACTAGGTGCATCCAAAGGCTGCCATGTGGATTCACTGAGTAATGTTTGAAGAGGGTTTGATACGGGGTCTGGCCGATGGAAGAGCTCATTAAGTGTTAGCCAGTGTTGTTATTAAGGAACCGGGGCCCAGAGGCATTAGTCAGGGAAGTCTCCCTGAAGGCGGCCATCCAGGAGCTACCTCTGGGAGGAGAGGAGCAGTTCCATTCTACGAAAGGTGTGGTGCACCTGCTGGGGACTGTGGCAGGAGAGAGTGGCTGGCAAGGAGACAGACAGCAATGAGCTACACTCGGGACCCAGAGTGGCCTTAGATTTTTTCCTTGCTGATAGTCTTAGGGCTTTCTGGAGGGGGGGAAGGGAGGGGCTGATGGAAGACCCTAGCCTGCTCCCCAACATGTCCCAGATGGGGTCCTGCGGGCTATCAGATGGGGAAGTGGGGAGCATGTGGCTGCAGTGGGGAGATGCATGTGGGGTCAGTGTGCTGGACTTCACTCACCTGGGGCTCATTTCCTGCCAGCTTGGGTGCCTTTCTAATGGGCTTTAGAGCCTCCCCCTTCTGCTGGAAACTCAGGGTTTGTGAGTTCCAACCTCGGTGGCTCAGTTGCTAGGAGACTCCATGCAAGTCTTAACACTTCTCTGGACCTCAGTGTCCCCTCATTTGGTTGAAAACTAGAAAGGAAGAGAAGTAGGGAGAAATCCCCTGGGAATCACCTGCTGCTGGTAGGATGGAGACCCCCCACCCTAGTGCTTGGCAGCAGGCCTGGGGAAAGCAGGGCTGGGGAAGGTCCAGCCAGTGCCTAGGTCGGAGCAGAGGGGAAGGCAAGGAGGGCTAGCATGACTCCAGGAAACGGGGTCCTCTGGTGCCGGCCTGAAGGGACAGGCCCATCGGAGGGCAGACCCTCCCTCCAGGGGTCACTGGAGGAGAGTGAGTGTGTGGAGGAGCCAACACCCCAGTTCAAAGGAAAGGCAGGAAACAGCCCCAGGCAAAAGAAAAAGGAAACCTCTCCAGTCTGGCAGCGGGCACAGGGCGCGGCCGGGTGGGGTGGCTGTCGGGGGAGAAGAAAGCCTGGCTCAGAGCGGAGTTGGCCCCTGGCCCACCCCACTCAACCCCGCCTTCCCCCTCCATGGGCGCTCAACCCCGATGGCCCCACACACACTGCAGCTGCTCCCCCCGCTGAGCGGGCCCGCCAGGGACAGCAACAGGCAGGGAACAGGGGAGAGCATCCAGGTGAGCACCCCTCTGGGTCTTGAGTCGCATCCGGGCTCTGGAGCATGGTGACGGCTTGAGCGCCTGCCCTGCCATGGGTGTGCTGCGTGTCTTTGGGGAACTCAGTCCACT